TATATAATAATAATAAGTTTTATTGTGCAAAAACATAGACCGATACAAACAATCATAATCACGAATACAAATGTTTGTGCCGAGCGAGGAATCGAACCCGCGACCATCGGAAGTAAGGCGGTATGCTACACCACTAGACCACCGAGGTCATCATAGAAAAAGAAGTTGTATTATGATATTTTCATAATCGGTTTTAAGGTAAGACTTGTCGCCTGTCCTAGAAGAATAAATAAACCTAAAAGAAAATTAAAAAATAAAACATGATATTCCTAATTTTTTTTTAGGTCATTGGTGATTTACTGGTTTTACTTTTAATATGACTAACCCACAGTTGCTGGGTGCATTCAATTAATGTTGGATTCATGTTAGAAGGCAGCATAGGTGTGTCTGGTGCCGCGGCCCCGAGTTTCTGATTACACCCATAAAATTGCAATTCGGTCATTGCTTCTGCACGAAAATATAATAATTTCTATAAGACTATTTTTTTAACAATAATAATTTCTTTTTATTTATAAACTAGCTACTCACGCCGGCTTCGCACGGGTGTACATGTATTATACATATAAACCTTCCTCTTGAATCACTCTATCTATAAAAAACCGCTTCACAGTCCGTTGCGTAGTTTCAAAGCATATGTACGTAGGGACGGACAGACAGCGACCTTGTTTTATACTATGTACCTAATGATATAACATTCTCGTGTCACAATGTTACCATACTCCTCCGAAACGGCTTGACCGATTTTTATAAAATTTTATATGCATACTCAGTAGGTCCGAATATGCATATAAAATTTTATATCGGCTGCTATCTATTTTTCATACCCCTAAGTGAGGATTGTCCTCCCCTAACATATATTTAATGGACATGTTTTTTTATAAAGTGGCATTAAAAATAGATACACCCCTAAATACTATTAAAAAATAGGGGTTAGTGATAGAAGAAGATATTTTCATCCTTCTATCATCAACCCCTATTTTTTAATAGTGAGTTTAATTTATATGACAAAACAACGTTTGTGGAGTCAGCTTGTCAACCCTCCCTTTACATCTATCCACATTCATATTATACACTTTCCATAAGACATGGTCCTCATTCCTCCGCATAATATATGACAGAATAAACGATAATAGCAAATTTACAATTTAAAAGTCTCTACTAAATTAAAAATGACACCGTGTAGATCTAACTTGCATAACCGTGTAAATTAACTCACACTTCAGCTCCATACAAATATATAAAAAATACCACAGACACAGATAATATAATACCACAGATAATTCGAGAGATGCCGTTAAATAGATTTAAAAAAGAATTACGCCAATGGCTCGTTAAAAAATGCTGATACTCTTTGCGAGAATTAACCTGACATTTAATATTTTTATTTAATGTAATTTAATTGTAAGAATTATAATTTGCATGCCCCTGAATGTGAGGCGAGCATTTGTACCTAACACTGTAAATGTTGAAGTAAAAAAATCTTATATATAAAATTCTCGTGTCACAGTTTTCGTTCCCATACTCCTCCGAAACGGCTTGACCGATTCTCATGAAATTTTGTGAGCGTATTGAGTAGGTCTGAGAATCGGCCAACATCTATTTTTCATCCCCCTAAATGTTAGGGGTAGTCCACCCTAAATTTTTTTTTTATTTTTTAGACAAAATTTTTAGTTTCTATTTTTTTATGGTACAACATACAAAAATACATACAATCCTAAATTTTCACCCTTCTATCATTAACCTTTTTTTTTATAGCGTTAATAATTTATATGGCAAAACAACGTTTGCCGGGACAGCTAGTTATCTATATATATATATATCTCGCCATGGCCTCAGACTAAAGTCATATAAGATATATTATAGTCCATTGTACAATGTTCTTGTATAGCCAAAAACCGTACCAGGTGAAAAATTACAGGAGTACTGTCGCCAAGCAGAGTAACGAAGAGATACCATCATGAAAATCACGACCACTCTGAGTGAGTATACGACTAAAGAAGATATTTTATAGCATAGGGGACAAACGAGCTTACGGCTCACCTGATGGTAAGCGATCACCGTCGCACATGAGCATCCGCAATATCAGGATAATATCAAGTATGTTGTCGGCCTTTTAAAAAGGAATGTCTTTCCTTGAACGTAGCAATATAGTATCGATTCGGAAATACCATTGCTGGAAGGAAAATATGGAGTTATTTTATTGCAAATATATAATTAGGAGGAAGTAGTATAAAAAGGTGCAATCCAATATCTATTTATTGATTTACTTCCGATAGTCGCAGGTTCGATTCCTCGCGCGGTGCAAAACAATTATATTCATGAGTATAAATATTTGTACCAGACTGAGTTATCTATATATATATATATATATATATATATATATGTATAAAAATGTTGCCATTCCAGAGATTTCTCTGGATTGTCTTTTAATAACAAAAACTTTCTTTTATACCCTAGAATATCACTGTCACATCGAGGGTTTGTTTAAAAATGAAACAACATGTTAAATTATAATACCAATTTTATTAACATCTTAATATTAACATTACAAAACTAAACATATAATAATTTGAACATATATTTTACAAATGAAATAAATCGTAAATGCTATAGCGTGCGCTATAACTACAAAATAATATCAATATACTTTAATTGTTGACTATAATATATTTGCGCAAAATTATATTAATTTTTATTTAATTATTAATATTATTAATGGCCATACAATTAAGTCAATTTAAACATATTTATAACTAGCTGTACTCGCGACTTCGTCTGCATGGAATTTAAAGTTATTTTTCTAAAATAAAAGTATCCAAAGTTACTCCTTATTACATCAGCTACCTGCCAATAGACCTGCCATTTCAGAGATTAACCGGAACAAACAGAGAAAAATTGTAAAAAATGTTATTTTGTTATATGTACCGTATTTATATTCATATGTATGTAGTAAAAAACTGTTATTTCAATATTACAAACAGACACTCCAATTTTATTTATATGTATAGATACACAATCTGCAATAAAAACGATGTTTAAAACAAATAGTAGCATTTTTAGCACACCGCCTTACAGTCTATTGTCGCGGGTTCGATTCCTTGTTCGGTGTAATACAAACACTTGTATTTATATAAGTATGATTGTTTGTATCGGACTGGATGCTTCTGTATTTACAAAAAAAGGTATAGAGATATGTCATATCAACAGTCTAGTACACATAACACAAGCTCTGCTTAGCTTGGTACTAGATGACGTTGTGTGAATTGTCCTGAGATATTATTAAAACAAATATATTAGGTTGTACGGAAAGTAATTTCGTTTTTTCCTAACTTAGGATTTAATTGTATTTTTTGCACTCAACTTCACACTTAAGCCGTATAATTTTTATATGCTTTGAGAGCTCATATAGCAAGGCTTGTGCGTGAAAAATTACAATTATTTCTACGCAGTAGTTTTTGGTTGGTGCCCTTTACATATGGAGAGGAATAAGCAGCATTTTCGACATATCTTACTATTTTACTACAGAAAGGGCAAAAATGCTGTTCAAGCCAGAAAGAAATTGACCGACGTGTGTGGAGAAGGTGTGGTAACAGTACGCCAGTGCTAGAACTGGTTCGCTAAATTTCGATCCGGCAATTTTGATGTCGAAGATGCACCACCCTCGGGAAGGCCGGTTGAAGCTGATAAAAGAATTGGTTGATGCGAACCGGTGAACTTGAGTGTACAAGATACAAATAAATCTTTCATTTTTTTTTATCTGTTTTTTTTATTGTATGTATTAATGTAATTAATTTTAGGTAATTGAAAGATTATATATTATGGAAATATTTTAATGTTTCTTGTTAATAGTTCAAATTTCATGTTTTAATATATTTAAATATATAATTTTACATTAAATCTTAAGTTAGAAAATTGAAATTACTTTCCGAACAACCCAATAATTAGGATATTAAATATGACCGAATAAGGTCTACTCTGGTTTAATATCAATAGTTATTTTAATACAGTTCTGTACTGATTTTTAAAAACGTATTTTTTTATGCTATTCGAATGGTAAATAAACTGACGGTCACCGGATGGTAAGTGGTAACCGTCGCATATATACATGAGCAGCATCACGTTATCACGTGACACCCGTGATACCATTCATGCCTTACCATTCCAGAAAGCTAACACGTTAAGACTCTTATCCTGAAAACAATGTCAGCTAGTTCCTATGACTAAGATTATATTGCTAGTATTATTAAAGCATATAAAAAGGCTTTATCCATTATCATTGGATATAGTTTCCAGAGTAGATCATCTTAAATTCAGATATTGCTTTTATTTTTCATATGTGCCATGCAAATTCCTATTCAACGCATTTGGAACAAAAAGAAGTTGATATAACTCTTTTGTTTGTTTACCGAGTGGAATGAACTACTAAACTAAGTTTTACAGTAGCTCGCTGCAATACGCCAGTGGAAACCGCATTTAATTTGGTGTAGCCGTTTTTGAAGTTACTGTACACAAACGCACAGACAATAATTGTAAATGAAGGTATCATGTGAGGTCTGCAAAACCACTCATATGTTGCCGAAGAACTAAGATACCATTTCAGTGCAATATGTAAAAATTGTTTATTTTAATTATATATATATATATAAACGAGCTTGCGGCTCACCTGATGGTAAATGATTACCGCCGCCCATGAGCACCCGCAACACCAGGGGAATTGCAAATGAGTTGCCGGCATTTTAAGAAGGAAAACCTCTTGAAGTTTTCGATATATCAGAAATACAATTGCTGGAAGGTGATTCCACAATGTGGTTTTGCGTGGCAAAAAGTTTCTAGATAACAAACTATGGAGGACCGCCATTCATCCAGATTCAGATATTTCTGGCGGGTGGTACGATGGTGAAATCCAGCTGGTATTAATCCGAAAGATTCCTCAGAATTAGTACCTCTATGGTTTGACAGAATTATCATAGATAGTCAATCAAGAAATATCATAGAAGTCTATACGGTTAAGTTAAGTTACAGCGATCTGGTCAAGATCTCTGGAAAGCATTGGATGGGAGCAGCGCAGGACCGATCGTCGTGGAGATCTTTGGGGAGGCCTATGTCCAGCAGTGGACGTCTTCCGGGCTGAGATGATGTTGAATAAATCTACCCAGTTCGACATAAACTTGGAAACTATTTTTTATTACTACAATCACATATTGTCTTTTAAAACATGTTTCAAGATGGCGCTCTCCGTGTTTCTCGTTTGATTGACTCCCGTGTCTAGTTGCGTCACAACTCTATTTTCTCTATGGTCGGACTCTATTGATATTTGCGAGGAGGTTTCAATGGAGTCTATGTTTTGGAATAAGAGATTGTTGGATCCGGTTGAGGGATTTCTTTTGTGACCAGCTTCGTAGAGATTCGGGGCTGAAAGGAAAGTAAATTAATATTATAAACGAGAAAGTTTGTCTATGGACGTTTTTTACTCATTCACGCAGAAACTACTGATCAGACTTTACAGTAATATAGCTTCTGTATCTATGTGTGTGAGTGCGTGTGTATGTGTGTATTTTCTGTATTTTCATTTATGTGACTATTATGTCATTTTCATCTATCTCCAGAAATTTCCAGACAGTTCTATAAGTATTCAAAAAGGTAGCCTTTTGAGGTTTGTTTCTTTTTTTTAAACATAAAAACATATTAATATCTCCCCACTTAAGGAGACGAGATGGCAACTTATTATTATTATTTTTATTTTTATATTCTCTCAGCTATTGCTGGTTTTTTTTATTATTATCATTGTTATTATTATTATACAATCACATACCTGTAGTTGTTGAATTCCTTGAGGTGGGAGTACTACTCCTGCTGCTGGTTTGCGCCAGCCCCATCATGTTCGGTAACGGGGTTCGAGGTTTGGACTCGTTTTCTAGAAACTTCACAAACTCTGCGGCTATACCCTCCGAGGTATTGGCTGACCTCGCCAGGCCGAGCCTCTCGCATTCTTGCTGATTGAAGTCAAGGACCGTTGATAGTATTTTTAGGACTCGAGTTCTGTGGATTTAGTTATTAAGAACAATAATCAGTTTTTTTTTAAATGGAATGGAACACTAGCCTGCGCTAACGGTATACGCTGGCGGGGCACCAGTGGAAGATGATAAGATGAGTATGAGGTTAGGTCAGTTAGCCCATCGTGGAAAATTCACCAGGAATTTATCACGATGGTTTCCTGGAAGAAACCGCGTGGAGGTCAACCTGATAATACAATAATAAACCCATTGCTTAATCATAATAATAAGAGGTACCAGTGTAATAAAAAAGCCGTGGAGACCGTCCCAGTTGTTTAGTTGATTAGCACACCGCTTTATTTCAAATGGTAACAGGTTCGATTCCTCGCGCACGGTACAAACATTTGTATTCATGAATATAATTGTTTGTATCGGTCTAGATTTTTTCTATCTATATTATGTATTTACAAAAAAAAACTAAGTATTTGTATCAGTTGTCTAGTACCCATAACACAAGCTCTGCTTACCGTGGAACTAGATGGCGCTGTGTTGTCCAGGGTTATTTACAATTATTACTCCTTGGATAACTATTTTTTTCACCCACAAGTATAAATAAATGTTAATTTTTGCCCTAATGCCTTACTCCTTCGAAAACATTTTTTTCACCCACAAGTATAAATAAATGTTAATTTTTGCCCTAATGCCTTACTCGTTGGAAAGCTTTACTATTTTTTTCACCATGTGGGTATAAATACCTGTTAATATTTGTCCTAATGCCAAACTCCTCGTAAAACAATTGTTTTTACTCACATTTATATATAAATGTTCATCTTTGCCCTAATGCCTTACTTGCCTTACTCCTTGGAGAACTATTTATTTCATACACATGTATAAATAAATGTTACTTTTGCCCTAATTGACTATTGGATAATAAATATTCTTGCATCCTCACCTGTTCTGTGCACTCTGTGCTGCGGCCATCACGTAATTAATGACAAGATTCTTCACCAGATTCTTGTCGACCTTGTCTTGCTGGTTTGATATTGTATTGTTGTATCTCTCTTCCGCGGCCGCCACTGACACTTGCAGTGTGCGTACTGATAGAAAAAACATATATTACAAATTTAAAGTGAAAATTTACAAACCTAGTGAAACATGGGAATAGACGCATTATTCGAAAACTAGCTTTTGCCGCGGCTTCGCTCGCGTTAATCTTAGGGGTGGAATTTATCAAAAACCTTTATGCTTTATGCATGCAAAGTCTTAGCCCGATCGGTTTAAAATTGACAAAGTTTCATACAAAGTTTCATCCCCTTTTTTTCCCTTTGGGGGTAGAATTAATCAAAATCCTTTCTTAGCGGATGCCTACGTCATAACATGTACCTGGCATGCCAAATTTTAGCTCGATCCGTCTAGTGGTTTCGGCTGTGCGTTAATAGATCACTACGTCAATCACCTTTGAGTTATATACATTAAGACTAGTTAATTAAAAATTTAAAATGAAAATTTATAAAACTCATGGAAAATGTCATCTGGGAATAATCACTTTATTGTAAAACTAGCTACCGTAGTGTATATGTCTTATACATATAAACCATCCTCTTTAATCACTCTATCTATTGCATAAAACTACATTACATTCCGTAAGTAGTAGTAACGTAGTTTTAAAGATCTAAGCTAATAGACAGCGAACGCAACTTCAGTTTATATTATGTAAAGATTTGAAATGCACATTCTTAAAGCTCTCAAAGTATGCTGTATAGGAATAAACGTATTTATTGTAAACTAAGGAATATTACTAATATTATAAACGCGGAAGTTTTTTAGTATGGATGGATGTAGTTTGTTACTTTTTCAGGCAGAAACTACTGAATGGATTTTGATGAAACTATACAATAATATAGCTTATACATCAGAATAACATAGACAGTAAATATCAAGCGAGCGAAACCGCGGCATAGCTAGTTTATAAATAAAATATTAAATAAATCTTTTGATACAAATTTAATAGCTTTATATTATTATTTAAGCAACGACTCTAATTGATTTCAATAAGAGTTAATTTAAACCTATTTAGAAATAATTATAAAAAAAAACAATGATTACAAAAGTATAAAACAACATTAATTATCAAAACTTAGAATAATGTTACAAAAATAATAATTAATACATAGAAAGTAATTGAAAAGAATTACACTAAAATTACAAATACGAACGAAACGAATTGCGATAAGTTGTTCAGGATTATTATTATTAAAATTGTAATACCAGTAATCAGGCACAAAAAACCTGATATTAATCACATTATTAAGGATAACACAAAAATGACTACTATAAAATTACTAGTAGTACCAGTATTGAAATAAAAAAATACAGTGGAATTCGGAACATCTATTTTGAAGTCTATGGACACAAAGAAAAGGCATCAGATAAAATTACAAAAACATACAATTTTACTTAAGATTTTTTATAAAATACTAATTAAACTCTACTCTTACCATGCAGATACTGATGTTTGCAGTTTTCTCACTCGACGATAAGGCACGTACGATCTTAAAGTATTATTCAGTCACTGGGAAGGGGATCAAAGACTACAGACACTTGCGAACAATGAAATAATAAAAAGAAACTATACATCAACTTTTTGCGTTTCACTGTCAATTTAGATTTTGTCGCATTCATTTATAGAGCTACGTATGATGGTAAACCATTAGTATAATATAAAATTAACTAAGATATACATTAGTAAATATCAGTCTTTGAACATTAAAGTTTCAAAGATATAGATTTCATTATTAATAATCCTATAGAATTTAATCAAGGACTGACAATACAGAAGCATATAAATGAATCGAACAAATCCATGTTTGAATTATTACAAGTGTAAAATTTCAACTGCAAAACTGTGGTAAATGTTGCAATCAAAGACACTAACTATCAAAACAAACATGATGACAGTGGACTTTGTCTAAATAATATACAATATTATTTTGATGCGGTTCCGATCGGTGCGAGTAGTCATTGTCCCCCGTTTCAAATTCTACCAGTACCTGAAGTAATACTCAAAGACCATATGGCAGTTCTTCTATTGTCTACTCTTCTACTCAATGGAAAAGATCTAAAGGAAACGATAAATAATACTTGCATTGGAAATTACCCATATAAATTTAGTTATATACCAGAAAAAAATAATTAAAAACATAAACATAGAAGAGAGACAGATGAAATTTCCAATGCAAGAATGAAACAAAACATAAATGCACTCAACAACGACGTGTGCTATATCTTGCAAGTGCAAAATGAAAATTAATGCGACAATGAAAAATCTTGCAAATTATATAAAAGACATACAGACAACATTCTCATTCAAGATCTTTACGACAATATACAAAAATTGAAGAAAGGCTTTTTAAAATTGCATAATTTTTCATCACAAACGAACACATAAAATATAAAAGCAAAAATGGTGATTAAAAAAACACAGGGACGTCACGATGTGAAGCCAGAAGCCTCAATCAAATCCCATATGGTAATCTGAGTGTAACGCGGACTTGCTCGCTGTAATACACATGCCAGCTAACCGCCGACTGTGAAACAGGTTGCAGCCGCGGTGTGATAAAGCCTCACAGTTACCAAATGAGATTAGACCGAAGCAGGCAAAAGCTCGTCTCTTGAAATGCTATTTTCATACGTTTCAAATGAGGAATAACGTATTTTATAAGTCTAACCAGTTTTAAATACTGTTAATGTTTTCTTTTTACTATAACCTTACTTTTCTTATTGTTCATGTAACGTTTATTACATTTATACTTACCTACATTATTCAATGTTCTATTAATTATTTAATTATTAAGGGGAGTACAATAAAATATGAAAATTTCATAACAATGTCTTAACAGATACAAACACTACATGCTACAATTTGTATGCGAAATCAATAGTAAATGCCGAGACACACGTTAAAGCAAACTAAAATTGACACAACACAAACATCGTCTAGATAAAGCAAAATCTAACGTTCAACTTACATGTGTCAATAGTGTTGCTATGTTTTGTGGTATTGCAGTGTTTAACTGTATACCATCTGGTAGTCTGGGAGTAATAATCCCAGAATTACCAGCTGATATTTGGTCAAACAACTGCTCGATATAAGCCGGTTAAACTTGATTGTACTCCACGGCTAGTTTAACGGTTATGAAATGATTGCGATTGAAAATTATTCACTTTGATTTGTCTCAACTGCTAGGTTAGTGCTATAACTATATAAAACTAGAGAACTAATTATAATTTAATAACAATGTAACAATCTAATGATAAATTTTCTAATATTAGTTTATAACTACTACTTTCTACAAAAAAAATTGTGCACAAAACATACATTTTGTTTGATTACAAAAATTCAAAAACTTAAACAATTTTAAATTATACTTAGATGCATTTAATTTAGAAACACAGTTATTAGTTTTTTATAAATGTATTAACAATGTTATTAAAAATTGCATACCTTGCTCTTTCAAATCGTTGATCAGTGCAGTCTTCGTTTCAACTTGATCGCCCAATCTTGAAGCTGCTCTGAGACCCGCTAAAGATTCTTCTAATTTATGATCCAACCTTGATATTTCATCCCGTAAACCGTTGTTTTCACGTTTTAGTTCTTCCATTTTATTTCTTATCTTTTCTGTGGCAGTATGGATGTCACGCTCTTTGTCTATAATAATTTATATGCAATATTAACAATAAAATATTTTTAGTACAGTTTTATTCAATTTTTAATAACTAGTATTACTACATTACAATAATTCTTTTTAAATAAAATTAATCAAGTATTATTAAAAAGCTATTACTATTATACTTTTTAACTAGATTGTTCCATTGTTCACACTCTAGGTAAGAAACAGGAAATATACAGTTGATCTATTTTGTAATAGAAACAAAAGCTCAGGCAACATCGTATGACTAAAATCAAATTGTTTCTATGACACATAAAACATGTCACTACCACAAGAATCTCTTTCTCATATATTGGCACGTTATATTTACCTTAATATACTGTTATTTTTTTACAACAATCAACTCTGTTTGCTTTATGAACCTCAGATAAAAACGGAAACCCTAACTAAACAGATCATGAAACCACACATTTGACGCAATACATTATCTTAAAAATAATTAGTTGAAATGTCATTCTAGTTACTAATTTTGTCTTAAAATTGGTTATATTGCTATTTTACTTTATTGAGTTCTGTACATGACTGCTATTGTACAATTCGTCATTTTGCATGATTTCGTCTTTTGATTTCACCTTCTATCATAAACACTACAAGGAAACAACAAACCAACAGTTCAGTATCAATTATATGTTCATGAATCTTACAATTGAAAAAATATATTCGCAGCTTCATTGCAATATTGTTATAGGTAAGGAGATATTTATTAAAGAAACAAACCTAATTGGAACTGTTCTAGCACCACTTGTAAATTGGTTAATGCAGCTTCACTTCTGATTCTGGCGTCGTCTGCTTCGCTCAGTCTAGCCTGCACTTCCTCGCGCTGTTTCTCCAGAAGTTTTATTTGATTCCTGAGTGTTTCTACTTCTTGATTTGCTCGAATACTGGAATAGAAATATGCAAACCAACATAAGTCCAACAGTAGAGTATACGTGTAGTCGATCGAGAACAATATCTTAACTATATTTTAAAGGATTAGGTGTTATTTTACAGCACGAGTAGTAGTTTCGTCGCCGAACAGTCAACACTAGGCTTCAAAGCTATATCCGAACTCTATTCAATGCCTGATGATGACTCGTTTAGAGACGAATCACGTGTCGTAATATGGATGTATACTCAACAACAGTTGTAACGGTAGTTAAGTTTCCGCACTGTATTTTTGTGTTTTAATTTCTAATTGTAACGGAATTGAAAAAAAATAATATAAATCCATTAAATAGTGTAATATCTTAACTAGTTTTCGGCCTGCTATATATATGAACAGTGTAGTGTTTAGTAATTTAAGTCTTCTTATATCTCCTAGTATATCAATTGTTATCGCCATAATATCGGCTTGTTAACCACAGTTCCACGTCTTTAGTCCGCAGCGTCTTTTTAAATTACGCAATGGATTGTAATGCAGTTTTCAGTAACAGATAGAGTGATTCAAGAGGAAGGTTTATATTTATAATTCATGAGTGTAATAATAGAACAATTAAAAAATGCAATGATTTGTTTGCACGGTAGATACACTTACAGTTTGTATTGGTATGCGTATTTTCTATGTCTGTTTCTAAATATGTATTTCAGCATTTATCAAGATGGCGCTGAATGAATTTGGGTGTCCTAGGTTATTATTGTTACTAGAGACACGTCTCGAAAGATCGATCATATATTAAGTACCTGTTACTTGTGTAGACAGTGCTGGTTTGTTTTGCCCTCTCTTCCACTTGGTTCAATCTTGTCTGACACTCAGTCAATTTTTGTTCCGATGTCATTAACTCTTGCGTGTATGTTTCTTCCATTTCTACTAAGTGATGTCGCAGACGTTCTAGTTCTCTTGATGAGTTTTGCTCTTGTTCTGCTAACTAAAAAGCAAAGAGCAAATATTTTTAGGATATTAGTTCACTGTCTAGGTGTAGTTATTTCACTTGTCACAAAATTAACTTTTTTTCTGTCAACATTCTTTTGTCTATTCTAAAAACAACATATTAAATTAAGATTAAAATTATCAATTATTTTAGAACACATATTTTTGTTCGTTTTATAGTCTGTTCTGTATTTATACAGGGAAGGACAATGAAATTTCAAAATATCAGTGTGTAAGTAAATTTAAGGTATACCTATAAGATTATACGTATATTTTTTTTTAATGAAATTTATTTCATTTCAATTTCTCCCGGCAATTGATTAAAATGACAATATAAAATTAATAAATATTTATTACCTGTAAATTCTCTGTTCTAAATTTCTTAACAGCTTCTAATTGTATAGCTAAACTTTTGTCGAGGTTATCACGTTCTTCGGTTAAGTTCTTTATAGTATGGCTCGCTTCTACTAACTCCTCATTTGTTTTATCACAACTAATATTGGCACTTTGATTTAAGTTCATTATTACTTCATCTCTCTCTTTGAGAGTTACCTTCATTTTTTCACAATCTGAACAAGTATTAGTATGATTCTGCAGTATTTTATCTTTTTCTTCAATGACACTTTTTAACTCTAATATAACATGATTCAATCTCTGTATTTCGTTATGGTATTGAATGCTTTCATTATGTTTCAAAGTTACTAAATTTATGAGCTCGTTCTTTTCAATTGTAAAATTGTCTAATATTGTTTTATATTCTAAGCAAGCCTTTTCATACTGATCGAGTTTATCTTTGTAATTTACAGATTCCTGTTCTCTTTCTGTGAGGTTACTCTTTAATACAATAATCTCTTTTTCTATTGCGTTCTTTTCTTGAACTAACCTTGCATATTCATCATTATGAGGTGTAATATTATCTGTAATTTTCAATTTGTCAGTCAATTCCACAATAGATTGATTTAATTCTTTTATAGTTTTTTCTTTATTTTCTATTACATTTTTATATTCAGTACAAGATTTTTCTGTCTCTTGTAAGCTAATTGTTAAGTTAGTAATTTCCGCATTCTTGATATTAATTTCATCCTTAAGAGAAATTAACTGTTTATTTATATCTTCTTTTTCACAGTGGAGTCTATTTAATTCGTCTTGACTAAGACTTGATTTTTGACTAGTATCATTTAAGGTAGTTTGAATTTCTTCTAAGGATTTTTTAAGTTGCTTAATTTCTTCATTTTTATCTACTACGTTTTTCTCAAGGTTAACAGAATGTTGAGATAAAGAATTTATAGAATCATTATTTTTACATATAGTAGAATTCAAACCATCTATTAAAGTATCTTTTTCTTTAAAATCATTTAGTAGCTTCTCGAACTCCTCTTCTAAATGTTTTATTTTAGAATCCGTTGAAGATAATTCCAATTCCAGTTGCAATTTGCTTTGAATTATATTTTTATTTTCTTCTTTCAATGATAAAACTTCATTATTAAGGAACTCTTGTTGAATAAGTTTAGCTTTTAATTCCTCAATTGTTGACTGAAGTTCATAAACATTTTTACTCTTTTCTAATAAATCTGTATTTTCTTTAACAAGCTTATCAATTTTATCGTGTAATCGCATGTCCTCTGTAGTATTTAGTTCTTTTGTAAGACTCGTAGAAGTGCTATTTTTAGACGAAATTGTATTCTCTAAACTAATTACTTTTTCTTCAAGTTTGTACTTTTCGTTTTCAACTTCGGTTTTATGCCTGATTACCTCATCAAGTTTAATTTCCAAATCTTGTAATTTTTGATCCAATGTTACTTTTAAGACTTCTAATTCCTTGTGTTCACATGATTTTTCATTCAAGGAGTTTTTCAAATCATCTACTTCTTTTGTAAGTAATACCTTATCATTTTCTATTATATGTATGTCTATTGAAAGCTGTTCATTTTTAGCCTGAGAACTATTTAACCGCTTCTTTAAGTCGTCAGCTTCATCCAATGCAATCTTCAGCTTTTTTAAATATTCTGCATTTGTATCACTTACTAATTCTTCAACAGCTTTTGATTGATTTTTAAATGTTTCTAATTCAGTCAACATCGAAGTGTACTTTTCTTTCAAATCTGTTAAACTCTCCTGTAAAGTATTTTTTTCTTTTCTAACACCGTCTAATTCTTTCTCTATTCTGTTTATCTCAGATTCAAATGTTTTGTTTATCCTATTACAATCAGCCAATTCTGTTTCTAATTTTACTAGATTGTCTTCATGTGTTTCTATTATTGGTTCTAACTTGGACGTATTCTTTAAGGCCGCTATTTCAGATATTAGAAAATCATTATTTTTCTTCATTTCATTTAATTCTCTCTCAAAATGTTGGATATCATTAGTTAGAAAATCATTTTCAGTGGTTAGGTCATCAATCTGGGTTTGCAAATGGTTGGAATTCAAATTTTTTTGGGAAAGTTCATGTTTTAATGAATCTATTTCTTTTTTGAATGCATTGATTGTTTTAAAAACACTTTCTAATTTATATATAATTATATTATCACCAGCAGAAGGAATTTCGCCGACATAATCGACAGGTAGTTCGAAGTTAACATATTTATTATACAATTGTGTAATTCTTTCTGACTTTACTGTTTTATTGTCTACGTTATCCAAATTTCCTACTTCTTTTTGAGTTAATTTATGTTTTAGGTCATTTATTTCTCTTTTCAAATTTTCTATAACACTTTTAGCATTATCGTCTATGTTAATTTCATCTAAATCCACTTGATTAGAACTTCTTCTGTCCTTTAAGTCATTAAGCTCTTTTAATAAATCATCGTATCGCTCTCTGGGTACCATGTCAGATAGTTCACAATGTTTAGAAGAGATTTCCATTTCGTGCTCCAATTTTGTAACTTGCTCTTGCAACTTAAATACTTCTTCGTGTAAATCTTGATTTTCTTCTTGAAATTTCTCAGCATTTTCTCTTAATAAACTGTGTATTCTATCTAAATTTTGATATTTGTGGTGCAATGTATCTAGTTCTGAATTCACTTTTCGTAAGTTTTCAACCTCTCTGTCTCTTTCCCCTAATTTAAATAACAATGTTTTAATTTCACTTGCATACTCATCATTACTGTTTTTTAAATCCTCGTGTTCCTGTTTCAAAACTTCGAAGTTCTTCTGCAATTCCTTTTTTAACGATAAAAGTCTTTCCATCGCCATTTGATGTTGGGCATCTAATTCTTCAAGGCTTGTCGTTAAATTTTGATTTTCTTCTCTGAGACGATTCAATTCTTCTTCTGTATCAGACCTCATGTCAATAGTGCTGCGTTCTTTTAGGGAGGAAATTTCATCTTGTAAAGCGCGAATTTGTACTTCATAGTGATTTTGATTACGGTGATCGGAATTAGATGTTTCAGGCGGTGGATCCCAGTACCAACTGGACTCTTCATCTTTGAGGCCGTTTTTCCTAGAGACTCTCTGAAAAGAAAGAAAATATTTTTTATTAATTTCTTTCTAAGTAAAAGAATTGTTAGCTGACTACTTATTTAATAAATATTCTATTGCGTATTAATTAATAGCCTAAAAATAGAAAGCAGATATGAACAATATTTTTGATACTTTTTGGAATTTGTCTAATATTAGTCTTAAACATACAAAGCTGTCATGTCATATCCTGTAATTTCATCTCCCCAACTGAGCAAATCTTGCACATTCCAGTTTGCTTGTCTACTAAAGTACTGCTGAAAATTTGTGGTCACTACATTCTACTTAATTTAATTTAGAAATTATACTATATTTTTGTAATTATGTACAATACTCGTTTGAAAAGATTAAGAGCTGAATTTCTTTTCAGTTCTTAGCTCGAAGGCACTCCGAACTAAATATGTAACAGACTTACATAAAAATATTCAAATTTTTTGTTTTCAATAGTCGAGTCTACCTCGGTAAAAGATTAAAGGCAAGATGACCGTACAGTTAAAGTATAACGGTTAACCAATATTGAACCAAGCATTACAGTGTGTCACACTACGTTTAAACATGATACGTTATCTGCGCTTATGGCGACTGAGTCACGACTAACATATTGTACTTTTAGTGGATTGTTAAGTTTTATTAACACCAAACTACACGAACTCATAAAATTCTAGGAAACATAGCCTCATAGTCGACGAGTTCAGTGGTTTAGTGGTTTAAGCACGCCGCCTTACTTCTGATGATAGTGGATTCAATTCCTTGCCCGATACAAATATTTGTATTGATGAGTATGTTTCTTTGTATGGTCTGGATGTTTTCTATTGATATTATATATGCATTTAAGTATTTATATCAGTCAGTCTAGTGTCCGCAACACAATCTCAGCTTAGTTTGGAACTAGATGGCGCTGTGTGATTTGTCCAAGAATATTATTGTTATTACTGTTTAAAGTTTAATGTTTTAGTTTCTTAGAGATTTGTAAAAAAAATCACGATTTTTGTCGTCATGTTTGAATATTTTCTGTGTAAATATTTACAATTACTCATGAATACAAGTGTTTACATCGTGCGAGGAATGAACCCCACGACAATTGGAACTAAGGCGGTATCCTAAACCACCAGACCATCGAGGCCGTCATACTGAGTTAACACAGAAACATAAAGTAATAACTTAAACGATATTAACAATTCATGAGTACATTCGCCATTTAGCAAGTGGTGCGTGAAATACTGATAAGAAACAACGAAACAAGGCAACTTAGCTGGTTGGTTTTCCAACATTATATTTGATAACAATAAAATTAATATACCAACTGAATTGGCAAACGTAGCGCAAGATGTCGCGAAGTTAGCTGAAGCGACGAGCAAAGGGTTTCGGGTAATAACTGGACGAGAAGTGCTGAAGATCGTACGCCTAGCAGTTGCGAGCACGTTATAACTGGATGGGAGTGTTGACTATGCTTGCAAGGGGAGCCTATACCCAGCTATGACTAATATAATTTACTCTAATCGCAAATATTTCATGCAATCGCGCATAGAACCTCTTTTTTAAAAGTACTAATATATATATATATATATATATATATATAGAAAAAACCCAGATCAATACAAAAAATTATACTCATGAATACAAATGTTTGCACCGAGTGACCGAGAAGAATCGAAGTGGCAATTGCTCGTAGGACATCGGAAGTAGCGACCACGGACCGGAAGACGCAGCGTGGGAAGGCCTCCAGCAAGGTGGGCCGACGATCTGGTCAAGTGCTGGAACCGATCGTCTGGAGACCACCTATGTCCAGAGACGTCCGATGATGATGATGAGAATCTTTACAAATATATAATTTTTTATTCTCAACTATTAAATCAAATCACAATTCATTTATTCAAGTAGAACATTTTAGCAGTTTATGAACGGCAAGTTTTTTGTATTAATATTTTTCCCTACGGTGCATCTTTTAGCCACACGGCCTAGCTCTGTAACGGCCGATAAAATTTCAACCATATCTTATCTTAATCCAGTGTTAATAACGATTAACTATAACGGTAGAATTCAACAGGGGCTTGGCAATGTTGGTCAATTGTCCCACATTACTGTTGATATAACTACCATAAACGTATATGTTACGGCTGTAATAAGAATACATGAAGATCAGTTAAATTTTAATTTAACAAACACAAGTAACATAACAAACATCTATACATATAAATAAAATTGGAGTGTCTGTTTGTAATATTGAAATAACCATTTTTACTACATGTATATACATATGGTACATACACTAAAATAAAATTTTTGTCAATTTTTGTCTGTCCGTCTGTTTGTTCCAGCTAATCTCTGAATTGGCGGGACCGATTTTGACGGGACTTCTTTTGGCAGGTAGTTGATGTAATAAGCCGTAACATAGGCTACTTTTATTTTAGAAAAATAACGTTAAAATCCACGCGGACGAAGTCGCGAGTAGAGCTAGTACATAATAAAGATAGAACCGAACCGAAATTGAATTTACAGGTAGATGACGTAATAAGCAGTAACATAGGCTACTTTTATTTTAGAAAAATAACGTTAAAATCCACGCGGACGAAGTCGCGAGTATAGCTAGTGCATAATAAAGATAGAACCGAACCGAAATTGAATTTACTTCAACGTAAATATTTGATTTGTAACTAAGTATTGTTTTTTTTAATACATTTCTCTTCCGCATTAGGTCGTAACGAAATCCGTGAAGTAACAAGCTGTATCCCATCACCTGTGCACCATTTTATGTACCATTGTTAGAACACGCAGGCCAATAACCAGCTATAAAGGTCCGTATACATTACACTAGAAATTAGACCAGAATTTCTTCAGTTCTCAGTTTAAACAACGTTTATAACTAAAAATATTATCTAAGGATAATTCACACAGCACCATCTAGTCCCAAACTAAGTAGAACTTAAAAGGTACTAGATAACTGATAGAATATGTAAGTACCTTTTTTTGTACAAGTATTTAAATATAAGGGTTGAAGGGGGTTGTTAGTAATGTGGACTAATAACCCCATTGCTAACAATGTACTATGTCATGTTGACCTCCACGGTTCTCCCAGGAAATCTTGGTAAATTACAATTTTCAAGATGGGCTAACTGAATCAGACTTTATCCTCGTTTTATCATCCTCCATTGGTGTCCCGCCAGCGTAACTGTTAGCGCAGGCGGGTGCATCCTTCATTAGCATCCATAAAAAAAACATCCATAGAAAACACCCAGACGGATACAAACAATCATACTCATGAATACAAATGTTTATACCGGGGAATCGAAACCCCAACCGTCTGGAGTAAAGCTATGTGCGAAACCGCTAGACCTCCGAGGCCCTCAATATATTGGAATTTCATAAAAAAAACTTTAGATATATATAACAAATTTTATGATTTTAATTTTTTTTTTTGTAATTGTCGCACTGTTTGTTATTCTATTTTTTATTTGTTTAATGTGTCTTTTAGTTTTTCTTCTACTGAATAAATATCATTTCAATTCATTCATTTCATTAATAAAAAAAATTTATTCCTATAAGTCGAATAAATTTTTTTTAGTTAATGCAATTTCTATACGTTTGTATCAGGAAAAGCTAATGCGGAAATGATGTGAATACAATGGCACATAAACCGACGCAAGTCAGGGCTCTAGATTAGCGTGAAGTGTACGCCTCTAAAGTGGCTTTCATATGCGATTAAGTTTGTGTCCTATTGAAATTACTTGAATCCATATAAATATTTTTTTTTAACATTTCACACAGCGCCATTTCGACCCAAGTTAAGCTAGCTAAAGTTTATGTTATGGGTACTAGATAATATACATACATATTATACAGATCGATATAAATCAATCATAATCATGAATAGGTAGGTAGCAAACTTTTTCCCGAGGAGATAAAAAAAAGGACGAGCACTAGATCTATACATGTCGCAGTTCGACAGGTCTTACATCTGATTGAACAGAGATTAAGTGCGTAGCGGTTTCTATATTGATTGTCGCATGCCTAATCTATGTTAATCTAAATGTAATTAAAACAATATTTATTTAAAAGAGCAACACACAAGTTTCTTGCTTATTCTTCTTGTGTTGAGTCTGCATTCCGGAATGAGCGGTAGATTAAAAAAATGTGACTATTCAAAAGTGCACATATTAAGTTTATTTGAATAAAGATTATTTCTATTTCTTAGCACCTGACTATATCCCAAAACCTTCACTAATAAAAAAAACCACTACATAGTAATGGCAATGAGTTATACAATGAGTTTTTACGTAACGACCAGCTTAGAGACGGTTACCAACAATTATGGAAGTTGAAAAGAGAATCGGCGGAAATTTGGTCAAGGTTCGAACGGCGCTAGTACAGCCGTACACACTTAGATCGCATGTTGGATGTGACCATGTGTCATAGAATAGAATAGAATAGAATTTTATTAACTCGTTTTTACAGTAATAACATAGAAGTACAAGAATAATTTACACATTAAAAAACGGAGTTAATGTGGACCACAACTCAGCATAATGCTGGAAATAGCTTCCAGCTTGATTTTGAGTTGGGCCCACAGTACGGACGCGCATATATTACAATTAAAAAATACGTATACATAAACTTAATAAATCAGATATTACACAATTGCTTCCCGGGACTGTCCCGCTTTGAATAGTACTTAAGGTGAGCATTCGTCTCGCTAAGACGCGGACAGTGGTAGAGCAATGGAACAGAATTAGTCTAAACTTGTTGGTTTAATGATGAAATATTTCATTTTTTGCTCGTAACCACAGTTCGATACCAAAGGTATATTCGTGGAATTACCCTTAAATAAATTCAAAACATTGTTAAATCATATTTACTGAGCAAAGCCTATTCACTAAACGATTACTTGAATGAAGAGCCTGCGTAGCAATAGTTGTTCATGCACGGGACTTTCATTTAATGTTAGACATAGACACCTATATAAATATACATTGTAAATAAATTCACTTTTAAAGAAA